CTTCTGGATGAGTAGCAAGTACTGGTAACTGCTCCAGCTCCTAAATCCCGTTTCTTATATTTGTCTCTTAATGGGATAAGTTGATCTACGGGAATACTGATGTGTTTATTTTAAAGATTTTGAGAATAAAGTTCATAGTTCAACAAATTAGTACACCTTCCCACTGTTAGCTCATATATGAGAAATGGAGGGCACATGGTGCAGCAGTTTAGGAACAGCTTTGGTTACTTACCTTCTGCTACTGTATTTGGTTTTACAGGGAGTGTTATCCTTAAATTGCATTTTTTCATTTTTTTATTATTTTTTTATACTTTATTCACTTTGTATTCCCCATAAGCCCCTCCCTCCTCCCCTCCCGATCCCACCCTCCCTTCCCCTTCTTCATGCATGCCCCTCCCCAAGTCCACTGATAGGGGAGGTCCTCTTCTCCTTCCATATGATCTTAGTCTATCAGATCACATCCGGAGTGGCTGCATTGTCTTCTGTGGCCTGGTAAGACTGCTCCCCCCTTAGGGGGAGGTGATCAAAGAGCAGGCCTATCAGATTGTGTTGGAGGCAGTCCCTCTTCCCATTACTATGTTACCCACTTGGACACTACACTGCCATGGATTACATCTGTGCAGGGGTTCTAGGTTATCCCCAGGCCTGGTACTTGGTTGGAGTATGGGTCTCTGGGAAGACCCCTGTGTTCAAATCCTCTAGTTCTGTTGCTCTCCTTGTGGGGTTCCTGTCCTCTCCATAAGCTACTATTTCCCACTTCTTACATACGATTCCATGCACTCTGCCCAACAGTTGGCCCTAAAGTCTCAGTGTCTGCTTTGATAGTCTGTAGGGCAGAGCCTTTCAGAGGCCCTCTGTGGCAGGTTTCTAGGTTGTTTCCTGCTTTCTTCTTCTTCTGATGTCCATCCTCTTTGCTTTTCGGGATGGGGATTGAGCATTTTAGTCAGGGTCCTCTCTCTTGATTAGTTTCTTTAGATGGACAGATTTTAGGTTTATCCTATAAGTCTATATGAGTGAGTATATACCATGTGTGTCTTTCTGCTTCTGGGACAGCTCACTCAGGAGGATCCTTTCCAGGTCCCACCATTTACCTGCAAATTGCATGATTTCCTTATTTTTCATTGCAGAGTAATACTCCATTGTGTAGATGTAATCCAATTAAAAAATGGGGAATAGAGCTAAACAGAGAATTCTCTGTAGAGGAATATCGAATGGCAGAGAAACACTTGAAGAAATGCTCAACCTCATTAGCTATTAGGGAAATGCAAATCAAAACAACCCTGAGATTTCACCTTACACCCATCAGAATGGCCAAGATCAAAAACTCAAGGGACAACACATGCTGGAGAGGTTGTGGAGAAAGGGGAACTCTCCTCCACTGCTGGTTGGAATGTAAACTTGTACAACCACTCTGGAAATCAATTTGGCGCTTTCTCAGACAACTAGGACTAGCGCTTCCTCAAGATCCAGCCATACCACTATTAAATTGCATTTTTAACCAATATTGATTCACAAGTGCCAGACTTGAGCTTTGCACACCCTGGTATCATTCAGAAGGCACAGATTTCTGATGCACTGACTTGATTTGTTTTCTGCAGCATTTGATGAGCTTGTTGAAGCATACCAGGAGCAGGCCAAAGGACTGCTGGATGGTGGGGTTGATATCTTGCTCATTGAAACTATTTTTGATACAGCCAATGCCAAAGTAAGTTAAGGGGAAAACTGGAGGGGGGGGGGGGGTGGAGGGGCTGTGAAGAGTCTCTATTGTTAGAAGATAGTAGTAGCTACTACTGAAGTGAAAAGAAATTTCTTGTGTTTGCTCCATTTTCCTCTGTCTCTTATTGACTTTTTCATGTGCATATACTACCGCACCTGAGCCTAGAAACCTTATTTTCTTTTCTGTGATTTATGTCCTCTGCTCTTTTTTTCTATTGGATTTTTACAAATTGTGTGTTTGGGTATATGCCCGTAAGTACAGGTGCCCACAGAGTCCTGAAGCATAGCTGGAGTTTTGAGTGGTTTCCAGCTGCCTGATAATGGTTGCTGGGAATCTGACTTGGGTCCTCTAGCAGAGCAGTCTGTGTTCTTAACTACCGAACTGGCAGATGCACAACTGAAAAGAAGCACAGTGCTGTTTTTATTGGAGACATGCGTGCTAAACAAGAATAGAAAGCATTAGGACAGCTTTTTTATTTGGTGAAAAAGATAAAAATTACTGAATTTCTAGGTCTTAAAACGTGTGGCCCACATTCTTTATGCAGTTGCATGTGCGAGTGTACATATGTACATTGGCACTAATGTATGCATGTTTAAGGGTTGCACAATAAGGAGACTGAGTAAGGCTTGGGATCAAACCAGTAAGCTGTATTCCTCCATGGTTTCTGCTTCAGTTCCTGTCCCCAAGTTCCTGTCTTGAGTTTCTGTGCTTGTAAGCCAGATAAACCCTTTCCTCCTCAAGTTGCTTTTGGTCATGGCGTTCAAGCACAGTATTAGGAACCCTGACCAAGACACTCACAGAGGTCTGTTCATGTGTTCTGTTCATTACTCTACTGTTTGCTGCAGCTTTAGAATGAGGCAAGTGACTGGTAGGCTTAGCTCCTTTTATTAATCCATCCTTTTACCCAGAACTTTTCTGGCTATTCTGATGCATTTGTTATCCATAAGGTTTTAAGAGTCTTCTAGATAGTGGTGGCTCATGCCTTTATTTCCAGTGCTCAGGAGGCAGAGGCAGGCAAATCTCTGAATCGGAGGCTAGCCTGGTCCAGGGCTACATAGGGAAACTCTCTCTTGAAAAACAACAACAAAAACCAAACAAAACATACCCCCTCAAAAAAAAAAAAAAAAAAAAAAAAAAAAAAAAAAAAGATTGTAAGGACCAAGTTTTTTATTTCTAAGGTAGGAAAAATTTCAGTTTGTTGTTTTTGTAACAGAGTCTTGCTGTGTGGCCCAGGCTGACCTAGAAATGCTGGGATAGGCTACTCTCAAACTTGAGGTCTTTCTACTTCGGTTTCTCAAGTATTGATGTTACAGATGTGCCTTACTACACCCAGCTTTCAATATTGTTGACTTGACTTTCCATGAAAAAAACCCTCTTATCACTGGGAAGGTTTACATTAGTGACAAAGATATTTTAATGTCAGATGTGTTCATCTTCAAATGAGTGACTCTTATGATAAAGGAAAGAAGAAATAGATGATCGTTGCTTGGAACTTAAAGCATGGACTTTTAACAGGGTAAAGTAGTTTTACAACCCAAGGTCACAGTGATTTTTCTAGTGATGCACATCTTTGGCTCATATACCTACCTTTGATGTATGTGAAAGGCTAATGAAATAGGCATGACATTTTCATTTATTTACTCTTGTTTTGATTGAAGCAGGGAGGAAAGTTAACCCTTCAGTTCTTCTTCAAAAGAAATAATTAGCTTGTTGGGTGAACTCAGGTTATTTTATTTATTTATTTATCTGTTTATTTATTTATGTGTTTATTTATTTTGAGACAAGGTTTCTTTGTATTAGTCTTGGCTGTCCTGAACCTTGCTTTGTAGACCAGGCTGTCCTCGAACTCACAGAGATCCACCTGCCTTTGCCTTTCAAGTACTGGGATTACAGGCATGCCCTACCATGCCTGGCTATATTTATTTATTTTTTAACTAGTGTTGGGCTTGAACCTAGGGCCTTGTGCATCATGCCAGGCAAGGGCTCCACTTCTGAGCTGTCCTCTCACCTGAGCATTCGTTATCATGTGCAGTGTTACACTTGAGAAGGGTCATTAGGGCTGTGCATTTACAGAGGATTTCCTTTCCTCAGCTTTGCTTGAATTCTACCTGAAGAGGTCTTAGGAAAGGGGTATTCTGATTGGGCTGCTAGATTGATCTTGGACCTTTCTCAGAAATAAAGGCATTCTTTTTTTTCCTTAACAGGCAGCCTTGTTTGCACTTCAGAAACTTTTTGAAGAGAATTACGCTCCTCCCCGGCCTATTTTTGTGAGTTCTTAAATGTGTGCATGATAACTCCTCTGTCTTTAAAAGAAACCCTTTACAATTAGAAGTTTTAATGCGGGTTTTCCCCTCTTCCTGGAATAGTAGAATGATGTAATCTTTTAGAAACCACCTTTTTCTGTTCACCTCACTCCTGTCAATACCAGCTTACCTTTGGAGAGATAAGGAAAATGAGCCTAGAAGTGGTTGGTGGAGGACAGGCTGTTGAACAAAGGCTACAGGCTTAAGGACTTGCCCTGTTAGGGCTTACAGAGGGATGGATTTGGTGTAGGACCTCTAAGGCTGCTTGCCTCTGTCACTCTGGGATTCCTTCTTCACCTGTCACTTGCATGCATCTATTCTGATCCTCAGACAGACACTGACTTCGAGTTTGAGTCCGCAGTTCTTTTCTTCATGAAAGAGTAAAGAACTTGCACTTGTTAGTTTCACTTTGTCTTTGTGATCATATTCTTACCATAGTCTATATTGTTGATCTGTTTACATTGTTAATCCAGATTTCTGGGACCATTGTTGATAAAAGTGGAAGGACTCTTTCTGGCCAGACAGGAGAGGCGTTTGTCATCAGCGTGTCTCATTCAGACCCACTGTGGTAAGTTTCTCCTTCTTTTGGGTGCTTTTACTGGGGGCTATGTAATGTGGCCCCAGAGGCTTTGCTTCTGTGTTTCCACTGTGCCATTTCCACGGTGCATTGGATTTCCTCCAGTCTTTCAGACTTGACTCTAAGGGCTTGAAGCCACTGTTTTAAATGGGCCATGTTGATATCAGGAGAGCTGGCATACATTTTGGGCAGTCAGATGTTTGCCTGTGAGTCTGTAGCTGCTTATAGTTTAAGACTGTGCTTCACTGGGCAGTGCAGGCTACTGACAGTTTACATTTTCAGAACAGTGGTTGCAAGTGTTAATGCAGTGTCCCTCCCTATTATTTGTGGGACAAAAAAGCATCCCAGAGTAAAATAAAGAAGCAATGTTATCTTTTACAAATGGAGGGGTATATGAAAGTTAACATCTTATGTGATAAAGTTAATATATGAGAAACTGTTGTTTAATCATTGAATGTAATTACAGACATCCTTGTTAACAAATAACAGTAGTATTATGACATAAATTACACACTGTGCAACAGGCTGTGGTTACAAGGAGGTTTATTACGGGAAAGATGAAATTGAGACAGTGGGAGAGCTTAAAAGAGAAAATACAGAGTGGGGAGACAGAATCAGAGGGACAGACAGGAACAGGCAGAGAGAAGAGGAGGAGAGAGAGGAAGAAGAGAGAGATGGTGGTGTGGTGGATGGCTGGTTATGTGCCTGGCGCAGGTGGTGACATAAGATGTTGTGAGGACCCTAGAGGCCTCTGAGGGCTGGCCAGTTGAATTGCTTGCAACAACGTAACAGGTAGAAGCCTGTGTTCTTACTTCATCATTTATTGAAATCTTGCTATGTGCCCTGTTACTGGCCAAGTGAAATAGTCCACATGAAGAAGAAATGCTTCATTAATTAAGAATGTAAAACATGGCTCACCAGGTAAAGGTACTTGCTGCTAAGCTTGGTAACCTGATTTGATCATAAGGACCTACATGATAGAAGGAGAAAATCCTCTCCTGCAAGTTGTTCTCTGACTCCCAGATATGCAAGCCTCCCTCATAGTCCCTTTTCCCAAATATGGATGGTAAAATGTGGTGCTGTACAGAAACAATGGAAGAAATCTGGCTATATGTAGTAGTGAGTCCTTGCACAATTCAGAGATGACTCTTCAGAGATGCTAACATCTGAACTATGTTAGAAGACTTTAGCTGACTTTGCTAAGCATGGAGACAGGATAGGTGTATGGGTCACAGTGGCTTAAGGTCAGTTTGAGAACTGTATAGTTGATGAAGGATGTCCATATGTGCGATTTCATTTGAGCTTTAGTAGGTCCCTAAGAACTGAATGAGCATTGCTTGCTGCTTTGAAGACTGCTTAGCTGGGTAATGTCAAGTCTAGAAAAGACAAGTTAGCATTGGAACTAAGTTTGGAAAACATTCTGATAGCCTTACTAGTGATAACACAGTGATTTACAATGTTTGTTTAAATATGATACTGAATCCAGGTAGCAGTTGCCTTTATTACTTTTCTGTTGCTGTGATAAAACACCATAACCAAGGCAACTTTTAAAAGAAAGTATTTGTGGGCTGGAGAGATGGCTTAGTGGATAAGAGCACTGTCTGCTCCTCCAGAGGTCCTGAGTTCAATTCCCAGCAACCACATGGTAACCCACAACCATCTATACTGGAATCTGATGCCCTCTTCTGGCATGCAGGTGTACATGTAGACAGAGCACTCATACATAAAATAAATAAATAAAACCTTAAAAAAAAAAGAAAGCATTTAATTTTAGATTTTATGACCATCATGGTAAGGGAATGTGGCAGCAGGAATGTCCCTGAAGCAGTAGCTGAGAGCTCATGTCTTAAGACATAATCACTAAGCAGGGAATGATGCAAGTCTTAAGAAATCCCCCCCCCCCCCCCCCCCCCCCGATACAGGGTTTCTCTTTACAGCCTTGGCTGTCCTGGACTTGCTTTGTAGACCAGGCTGGCCTGTAACTCCGAGAGAACTGTCTGCCTCTGCCTCCTGAGTGCTAGGATTAAAGGCATTCGCCCCTAGCCCCAGTGACACACCTACTCCAACAGGGCCACCCCTCCTATTCCTTCCCAGTCAGTTCTGCCAACTGAAACATGGGACCATTCTCGCTCATACCACCACAGTGTTCTAAGATGAAAGTTAACAAATGTACTAGGAAAATAGCTAAACTGAAAGTTTTAGTGTAAGTTCAGGTGTAAGTTAACTATGCATTGGACCTTGCAATCTCCTTTTTTTCCTTGAGTCAGCATTCATGGAGCTCAGATTGGTCTCAAACTTGCTGTGGCAGTAAGGAGGTCTTCTGTCTCCACCTCCTAAATTCTGGGATTACAGACATCTACCATCATGCCTAGCCTTGGACTTAGCAGTCTTAAAGAAGATCTGAAAATTGGTGACCAGAGAATCATGTTTGCTTTAGATTGGGTACAGGTTTATTAAAAAATAATAATAAAGGCAGAAAGCACGGAGTGTTCTATATTGCTCCCCGTCCCCACTTTCACCAGTTTTTCCTGTTAACATCTTGCCTTGGTGTGGTTCAGTATTAATACATTATTAACTGACTACTAGGCTACATTACAGCTTACTTTTGTATACTCTGGATATCTCCAGATGTGCAATGACAATATCTGCCATTATAAAATCATATTGGGGGGGGCTGGAGAGAAGGCTCAGTGGTTATGAGTACTGTCTGCTCATCTAGAGGTACTGAGTTCAATTCCACATGATGGCTCACTACTATCTATACTGGGATCTGATGCCCTCTTCTGGCATGCAGGTGTACATGCAGATATATCATTCATAGACGTAAAGTAAATAAATAATAAAAAAATCTAAACAAACAAATCATACGGATAGTTTTACTCACCAAAAAAATCTGAGTTTCTATACATATTCTTCTCTTTATTATAGCCCTTACATATAAATATTTTGAATGAAAGATGATGATTCTGACATCACTTACTGTTTTTCCAGCATTGGATTAAATTGTGCTCTTGGTGCAGCTGAAATGAGGCCTTTCATTGAAACAATTGGAAAATGTACAACAGCTTATGTCCTCTGTTACCCAAATGCAGGTATGTTGTAGAGGGGTTGCACATGAAGAACTCTATATTCAAGGCATGGTAAATAGGGTAACAGATTTTGATTTGAAGAATTTGTGTTGTAGGTGTGTATATGTGTGTGTACATGCATATAAAGGAGGAAGGGAGAAGGAAAGAGGCAGTGGGTTCAAGTGTATATGTTTGTTTGAAACTCAACCTAAATTTTGCAAAAAAACAAAACAAAACAAAAGAGTATTTGGGTCTATACCAGTTGACTTAGACCTGAAAGAATAGTTTTGCTCAGCTTGAAGTTTCAAAATGGGCACAACTTCAGGGAATTAGTCTAATTATGTCACTAAGAAAATTTGCCATGTGAATATAACCAGAAAGGTACCAAAATAAGGAGCCCTTTCCCATTTCATTGTATTAGCAGAAAAGCATTAAGGGTAATATTATATGTTGTTATGTTCTAAAGGCTAAGATTTCTGGTTGAAGGCACATAAAAATTTCAAAGATATTTATAGATTTCAAACTATTCAGTAAATATTGATAATTTGGACTGGGCTGGCCAGATTTCCAAGGGAATGTTTTGAGCACTGGTCAGCTACTTAGGGCTAAAATTCATTTTCTATACTTAAAAAAAAAATCTATATGTATACATTAAGCATTTTAAAACAGTTTTATTAGTATATATATATATGACCTGCATGTGTGAATGCAATTGCATGTGTGTCATGGTGTGCATGTGGAGGTCAGAGAATAACTTTTGGGATATAATAACTGGTTCTTGACTTCCACTGTGGGTTTTAAGACTTGAACTCAGGATGTCAGGCTTGTGTAGCAAATGGTTTTACTTGCTCAGACATCTCACCTCAAATATATACATTAAAAATATATAATAATGGTCTGGAGAGTTGATTCAGTGGTTAAGAGCCCATGTTCTTGCAGAAGACCTGGGTTCAATACCCAGCACCCACATGTTGGCTCATAACCATTCATAACTTCATTTCTAGGGGATTCAACACTCTCTTCTGACCCCTGTGGGCACCAGGCATGAAGGGGTGCACAGTCATAAATGTGAGCAAAACACTCATATACAATATATAAATAAATCTTTAAAAATTCATATTACCCAGGTACCAGTGGTGCACTCCTATAATCCTAGCATTCAGGGAGGCAGAAGCAGGTGGAGGCCAGCTGGTCTAAGGACAGCCAAGGCTGCACAGAGAAACCCTGTCTCAAAAAAAAAAGAATCATACATTTCATTTTCCTTTAGTAATTAGGGGCAGGGCATGAATATAACAGGAATCTAACTAGATTGTTGGAGGATAAAGTATAAGGTTATACTAAAGAGATACAACCTTAATAAGGTTGTATTAATAATAAAACCAAAATAAGGTGCTCCTTATTTTGGCACCTTTCTGGTTATATTCACATGGCAAATTTTCTTAGTGACATAATTAGACTAATTCCCTGAAGTTGTGCCCATTTTGAAACTTCAAGCTGAGCAAAACTATTCTTTCAGGTCTAAGTCAACTGGTATAGACCCAAATACTCTTTTGTTTTGTTTTGTTTTTTTGCAAATAAACACAACCTTAATAAGCTGTAGGTAATAGATACACATAGTTCAGCTACTATGAAACCTTTTATGCTGTCTGAAACACAGTAGAAATATTTGCTAATTTGAAAGAAGACTGGTTTTACTTGTTTTTGGTTGCATTGAATATCAAATATTCATTAGTTCAAAGGTGATAGAAGTGTGTACAGGCTGTTTTCCATACAAGCAGTTTTGTAAAAAGAATGAACTGTCTTGTAGTAAGGTGCTTGGAGCTGGAGACTGGGGCACTCTGTTCCAAGTGGGAGTGAATTTCTCTTTAAAAGCAAAAGCAGTGGGCTAGAGAGATGGCTCTGTGGTTAAGAGCACTGACTATTCTTCCAGAGCACTCTGGTTCAGTTCCCAGCACCCACATAGTAGCTTACAGCTGTCAGTAACTCCAGGATCTGACACCCTCATACAGACATACATGCAGAGTCAACACTAAATGCATATAAAATAAATTTTTAAAAAAAGCAAAAGCAGAGTGAATGCTCTCCAGATTTTGCTACTTCTATGCTATCTCTGTTATATAAATACCATCTTACTTTTGCAAGCAGTTATTTTATTATCAATACAGAATTTTATAAATTATCCTTTAAAGTACTTTTAAAGCAGTTGTTAAGATAGTTTTGAGTAACGGTAGAAATGTTCTTTCTCAGGTCTTCCCAATACCTTTGGCGACTATGATGAAACACCAGCCATGATGGCCATGCACCTGAAGGTCAGGAATCCTTTTATTTCAGTTTTGAAGAGACAGATAGATACATTCTTATTTTAATTCATTTGTTAATTAATTTACTTTGAGATCTGTCTTCTCTTGCCTAAGTTGCACTTAAACTTGTTATCCTTCTGCCTCAGCCTCCTGAACAGTTGGGATTATATAGGCATGTGCCACCATGCCTAATGGAGGATGGAATTTAGCTTTAGCATACTTAGAAGCAGAATTTTCCCTCAAGATACAGTATATAAATAATAGTAAAGTTTAGGTACTCTGAGTGAAGGAAGTATAAGCATAATTCATGGCTTAGCTGTCTGATTACTTATTGATTAGCAGTGCTAGCTGTTGGGAAATTCCCAGTAAGGTCCTCTAAAACTAAATGAGATGTGGCTCATGTCTACATTGTCATTTCTGCCACACTACCAAACAATGACTTTCTCTTTCATTCACTTCAAACTGCTGGCTGGACTAGACGTTCACACGGCTCCCTGTCCCTGCAAAGTCTCCTTCTCTTGAGTGGACTTGCCGTCCTTGAGTCATTAGACTGTTACTACTGTTGCAGTGTTTCATCTTCTAGTGCTTCCTCTGTTTTCCTTCTTTTTTTTTTTTTTTTTTTTTTTTGATTTTTAGCTTCTGGCTCACTAAAGTCTTTTCTGAGTCAGTTCTTAGGACTGCAGGATCCTTTCTGTTTCTATTGAGTTGGGGTTTTTCTACAGTCTGTCTTTGAGCTCAAGATTCTCCTGCCTCAGTCTCTTCAGTACTGAGATAATAATTTCAGATACCTGAAATAGATAGTCTTGCTTTTCTTTCTTAGCTCTTTTACTCACCTTATTGTTTATTCCTTGGGCTCTGGCTACTCCAGATGCTGCTGATCAGTATGGCTCTTACCTTATATTTGACGGAACACTTGAATCATGGCTAATATGAAAAAGGACGTTCATTTTTTTTTTTTTTTAATTGATTTTTTTTGAGGTAGGGTTTCTCTGTGTAGTCATGGCTGTCCTGGAACATGCCTCATAGATTAAGCTGGCCTCACATTCATAGAGATCCACCTGCCTCTGCCTCCTGAGTGCTGGGATTAAAGGCGTGTGCCAGCACTGCCCGGCCTTTTTTATTTAAAAAATTTAAAATTAAATTGAAAAGCTGATACTTGTATGTTATTTAGAAATCCATTGTCCATTTCATTCTGACAAGCATAAGTAATTTCATCATATAGGCAAATAAAATTTGTACTGTGTTTCAGACAGCGTAAAAGTTTTCATAGTATCTCAACTATTCTCATCTGTATCTTTTACCTAGAGTATGTGAAGTTTTTGTATCTAAAGTAAATATGTTTATTTATTTCTCTTTAGTATAAGCTTAGTTATTCAGGAAATGTAGAAGTAAACGCTCTTATGTTGTGGTAGTTTTAGAGTTCAGGTGAACTCACTTTTCGTAAATGCAGGACTTTGCTGTGGATGGCTTGGTGAACATAGTTGGTGGATGCTGTGGTTCAACACCTGATCACATCAGGTAATGGTCACCTCTTCTTCCTGCTTCAAAACTGGTTTAGTTTTATTATTTGTAATGATATTTTTATTATTTTGTGGGGGAATTTCATACATGTCTATAATTATTTTGATCATATTTACTCTACACTCCTTCCCTCTATGTGCCTTTGAGGCAGGGTCTTTCTCTGTATCTAGGACTGGCCTGGTCCTCATTGTATATAGCCCAGGCTGGCCTTGAACCTGTGGAAGTGCTTCTGACTCCACCTCACAACTTTTGGGATTATAGCATATACCCTTAGATCCTTTTATTTTTCGTGTGTGTGTGTGTGTGTGTTTGTGTTTACAGCTATTTGTAAACTGCCCAGTTTGTGGGTGCTGGTATCTGAGCCATCTTGATAGCTTTGTTTGCTTGTTGCTCCTTTCCTCTCCTCTCCTCTTCTGTCCCCTCTATTCCTCTCCTCTCCCTTTTCCTTCCTTCCCCTCCCTTAATGCAGGGTCTCACTGTGTAGCTCCATCTGGCTTAAAATCTTATATTCTGTAGCCCAGACTGGCCTAAACACATTGTGTAGCCTCAAACTCTTGGTACCTCCTGCCTCAGCTTCCTGAATGTTGAGAATGCAGGTATGAGCCATTTTGTCCAATTTAATATTTCCTGTACTTACTAACTAAACTAAATTGTTCTACCCACAAGCTTGTCTGTTAAAATCTTAACCCTTAGTACTTGGAATGTGACTGTATTTGGAGATGAACCTTTAAAAGGTGTCAGATAAAGAATGAGTGGACCCACCCATAATCCTACATAATCAGTGTCCATGTCATGTAAGTATAAGATACAATGCAGGGGTGAAGGGAAGGTTAAGTAGACACAAGAAATCAGTAGCCTGAAAACCGCAGGAAATGCGGCCTTAGAAAAGAACCATTTTGTCAACACCTCAATCACAGACTGTTTCTTTGTTTAAGCCATGTCGCTGTGTCAATAATATTGCTTCTTGTGAAAATATAAGTAATAGTAGCTTTATATTAAGAAACATTCTAAAAATGAAAAGTAGTATAGAAAAATAGAGTGCGCTGTCATGTGCCTGCCACATCACTGCCACAATTTTCTGCTTTGTCATTGCTCTTTTGTCTGACCCTCAACTTCTCCCCCTGGAACATTGTAATTTCCGTACATAAGACTCTACCTGGAAGTAATAATTTGAACAGAAGGACAGGCATGTTTTCTTGGGTGCAGCACATGCCTCCCTTAGATTCTTTCCTGAAGAGAAAAAGCAGCCAGGTGACTAGCATCTTGAGGTCAAGAGGAATCTCTTTTCTGGTCCTCTGAAGTCATTGTTTTACCCATGCTTCCAAGGGCAGTTGTGAAGGAGGAGTAAACCCACTGTGCAGCTATGGGTACATTTATCCTTATACTTTGTGGCTCTCAAAAAGATTGGAATTCAGGCAGAGGATGAGTTATTGTACTTTCAGCCAGCCCTCACTGTTCTCGTGTGTGCCCACACAATATGTTTCTTCAACTGAATTGCCAAATACTTTTTCTCACTGCTTTTGTTGACTTCTCTGATAGAATTTGTGGCTGGAACTTCCTATGTAGACCAGGCAGGCCTGGAACTCACAGAGATCTGCCTGCTTCTGCTTTCTGAGTGCTGGGATTAAAGGTGTATGCTTGCACACCTGGTTTCTATGATAGACTCTTAATAACTATAAAGTTATGATGTATTTGTCTCTTTTGGTTCTGTTAATTGAACCCAGGATTTTGTACATACTCAAGGTCTACTCTAGCACACTATACCTATATCCCCAGTTTTATAGTTTCATCAGTAGTTGAAGTATCTTATCTTTGGATCATAGACTAACTCTTCATTTTTTTAGATCACTTCCTCTTTTTAAAGAGAAGTTATTTTAATGTGTAATTTGTATATATACCTATCTATATTGTATAACTCCTGCTTTTACTTACTCATTCATATACTTGTTTGGGGCAGTAGAGTGAGCAGTGACTACAGGTCCTCATAAATAAACAGGAAGCTAGATTTTTATGATTTACTAAACACATGATTCACTAAAGTTGACAATGTGGAAGAGAGTGTGGATAACTGAAACAAACTTTGAGGAGAGAAACAATTGTTTTGAAGTATTCAAGCTCTATTTCTCTGTACCTTCCCTGCCGTGTGCATGCTGTAACAAACAAACTCACAGGACCCTATTCTCCCCACTGCCAGCAACCCCCCCCCCCGCCCTTTTACTATTATTTCTCAGCTACAGACTTCTTTTTGAGGTTGTTAACTGTTGAGTAGGTAGAAAGGCCATGTTTGTGTGTGGATTTGTATAGACTGTCTGAGGGCTGGGAGAAAGGAAAAGGTTTGCAATTGGTCCACATAGCTTCAGGCTTAAGTCTGTGATGGCAGAAGCACCTCAATCAGCACTGATGAGCTTCCTGTTGCTGAGAAAGCTGTCAGTGTAACTGCTGCTGTACATTTAAGTAGGCATATCATTATGTAATATTGATTCAGACTTAATTTCATAGCTGGAAATTGGCTTAATTAAATTGATGTTACTTTGAATTAATGAATATAGTGTTTTTTCTTTTCATTTAGGGAAATTGCTGAAGCTGTGAAAAATTGTAAGCCTAGAGTTCCACCTGCTAGTGTTTTTGAAGGACATATGTTACTATCTGGTAAGTCATGAGGATGTAGTTTTGATTTAAAAAATCATTCATAGGATGTATTTAACATGCATATTCTAAGTGTGAGTGATATTTATGCCAGGAAGCATATTAGGTCAAAGAAGAGTTCTAGTTTTCTTGGTACTTAGGTAAATTTTACTAACAAACTCTTTTTCTAGGGATGGGGTGGAAAGATTAATTTCAGAGTAAAAATGAATGATTGTTCATTCTATCTTTTCTTTACAAGGAGAATCTGTAGGCTTGTCTTTTCTGCACAGTAACAGCATACCCGTATCCATTGCCTAACAACTTTAATGGCCAATTGGTATGAATTATTGAAAATTCCACATGGTTAAAACTTAAAGCTTAGTGCTTTGTAATGGCAACAACATCTCCCTGGAAAATCTTAATTGCTTTTCAACATTAATGTTAGAATCTTACATTTGCCATTTGTTTGGAACTTTGCCTCTATTTGTGTATTTATTTTCTGTGTCTATGTGCCTCCCCCTTCCCTTCCTCCTCCTCCTCTCTCTTCTTTTGAGTCAGGGTTTCTCTGTGTAGCCCTGACTATCCTGGAACTCACTGTAGATCAAGCCTCAAACTCACAGAGATCCACCTGCCTCTGCCTCCTGAGTGTTGGGATTAAAATCGTGTATCATCATGTTTGGCTATTTTATTCTTTTTCTGAAATGGTGGTGTGTTAAGACAGGTATCACTGTATAGCCAAAGGTCACCTCAAACTAGCAATTCTCCTGTCTCTACATTCTGAGTGCTAGGATTACAAGTATGTGTCACTATGTCCAACCTGAAGAACATTTTGTTAACTTGTGTATAAACAAGAGAAGTACTCCTTCTCTATCCAAGGACCCTTACCATTTGGTGGTTGTTATCCCTGTTTGCCTGGTAGACAAACCTCCAGATTATGTGAAAGATCAGGGGCACAAGGCTCATTACTGATGGTAACAGTCATCAGCTGCAACCATAGAAAGTAATTGCTTCCTGAGTTTGTGAGCAAATGGCCTGTAGTACTTGTATAATTACCCAGTTCATATTCATAATCTTCCTCTTGTTCATACTAATATCTTCATAAAATGCTTTGGCAAAGAACTCAAAGGCCTTTTTTTTTTTTTTAATGACAGCTCTGATTGCTGGTGCTGGTTTTGGGCTTCATTTTTATGATAATTGTGGCAGAGACACTTGTACCTGATTTGTCAGCTGAAAGGTGGTGTGGGCAGTTGTCTCAGGTTGTGTGATCATAGAGCCTGCCTGTGGCTATTCAGGGAGACTGTTTCTTAAAATGCTTGAAAAACAAAGGCAGTTTGAGAACCTTTTCTGCAGTGATACTTCACACCCTTTGTGTTTAAAGAGTAATGTGTATGCCTGCGTTATCTGATATTTGCCTCTGGATTCACCTCTGATTCTATTCCTCCTTAGCAAATAAGATGATAATATGCAGAAAGCCTAGTGGCTGCCTTGGACACATCATGGTGGAAGGCCTGCCGCAGTGATTTCTGGATCTCCATCTGGGTCCTCCCTCATTGCCCTGTTTGGCAGTACTACTTTCAGGCTCATGGTCTCTCAGAGAGATGAAGTAACCTTCCACATACGTTGTTGATGGGGCAGTAAAGAGATTTGCTCCATTCAGCTATAAGCTGATTTCTGATAGAGCATCATGGAGCCAAAAAGAAAAAAAAAATTTAAAGATAGAATTTTATAGCATAATATATGCTGGCCTCAAATTTCTACAGGCTACAGAGTGCTGGGATTATAGTCATGAACTACTTATTATGTCTGATTCAACAATTTTTTTTGTTTTTTGTTTTACAATTACTTTTTATTTGAGAATTTTATAGAACATATTTTGAACATATTTACACATGTCCCAGCTCTTCCAATAAGTGCTGTTTCTACTCTGCTGTCCCTTTCTTCCCAATTTCAGTTTTCTCCCCAACCTTTCAGGTCCATTTGGTGTCACTCAACTAGTTTTGTAAAGTTACACACTGTATTTCCCTCTCCTTCTGTTCCTCCCTGTTTCCCTATATCCCAGCAGCTATCAGGTGCCAGTAGTTTTACTGCTTATGGTGGGATTTTGTGCCCACTTCTCACCATTTAGCCCTGAGTGAGACATAATATGGCCCGTTCCAAGGCTCAGGGATTTTCAGGGGAAAGTGGGACAGAAACCCCACAACTGTTAGAGGTTGTGGGTAGCATCAAGCAGGGTTTTCCAAGCTGGCCATGGTGGTGCACACCTTTAATCCCTGCACTCAGGGAGTCAGAGGAGGCAGATCGCTCCGAGTTCAAAGCCAGCCTGGTCTACAAAGTGAGTCCAGGGCAGCCAAGGCTACACAGAGAAACCCTGTCTCGAAAAAAAAACAAAACAAAACAGGGTTTTCCAGGCACAGCAGAATAGTT